TAATTATTTTATAATATAAATATAAATAAAAATTCTATGATCATATAATATTACCTTGTGATTTTAACTTTTCATTACAGTCAGCTTCAACAATACGCATATAATGAGTATGACACAGTTGTTGCCTGATTCTCAAATAAGTATAATATTTGAAGTTTCCATTTTCTTGAGTTTTTTTATGTGCTAATGGGGTGAATTTGCGAAAACGGGGTCCTTGACTATTACAATTCTGTATTGAACAGGGACCAGAATTTTTTCGAACCATATTGGAATAATTAATGAGATGTGATTATTTTTATTTTGATAAAACAAATCGCGCGTTAAATTTTTGATCGATCATGCCAATCACGAGATTGTTGATCACCGGCCAATAAAAACAAACTATTTTTGAGTCAAAAATGGGACAAGTCATGTGATTGGAGTTTCTAAGTGTCCTGCACTGTAGTTAAAACAGTAATGGTACTTAATATTTATATGTAATATTTTATATAATGGACCCGCTTGTTGAAAGTTTATTAAAGTCATCAATAGATGATGAGGGAGATCCCACAAGATCGCCTGACGCCTCTGATTTATCCGATGCAGAGGAATTCACACAAGTAATTTGCAAATAGTGAATTTTATTTCAAATCAAGTACATAAAACTAATTTCCTATTTGTTGGATTTTGCAAAATTATTATATACGCTAAACATATATTTTTAGCCTGTCAGGAGTGATGTCCCAACACATGGTGGAAGACAAACTGGACCAAAGGGGGTATTAGCTGATCATGCATATCATAAACGACAAATGCAACAACAAAAAGCAAAGTCAATAACTACCTATAATGAACATATGTTATCAAAAGCTTTAACAACCACCACCTTTCGAGAAGATGAAATAATAAAAGCACAAGAAGAAGAATTATTTAAAGATTTGGAAAATATTAGTTCAGATGAAGAAGAAAAAGAAGCAATAAGAAAATATCGAGAAAAAAGAATAATAGAACTTAAACAAAAGGAATTTATGAAATTTAATGGAGGAAATAAAAAGAAAAGATTTGGAACATTGAGAGAAATATCATCAAATCAATATGTGAAAGCGATAGACAATGAATTACCCAATGTTTCTGTTATTGTACATTTATATGAGAACGTAAGTAATAATTGATTAATATATATATATATATATATTTTGAAATATAACTATTTTAATAACACAAAAATAATTAATAATAATAATAATTATAATAATAATTTCTTTCTTTAATTTTTAATTTTATCAAAAAAAAAAAAAAAAGTCAAATCCACAATGTAGATTATTAAACGAATGTTTAACTCAGTTGGCTAAAAAATTCGTTTATGCGAAATTTATTCGTATTTTAGCGCATGATCTTGAATTTGATCCAATAGGGTTACCAGCATTATTGGTTTATAAGAATGGAGATTTGATTGCAAATTTAGTCAAAATAACTGATGAAATTGGTGAAAATAATTTTGATTTCAAAATTGTTGAAAATGTTTTAATTAGGTATGTGAATTTGGACTTTTTAAAATGTAAGAAAAAAAAAAAATGAAGCTGATTATGAAAATTTATTTTTTATCACAATTTTATCATCACATAGGTATGGAGTGTTAAATCAACATGAAGATATTGATAAGGAAGAAGAATTTTTATAAATTAATATATTTATTTATTTTTAATTAACATTAATAGAGATTTATTATTTATTATTCATTTATTTTCTTCAATATATATAATTCATAATTAATTATTACTTTAATCTGTAAGTTTATATGTAACAATTGAATAATAATAAATAACAAAAATACATATTGAAATATTTCAAATATTTCTTTTAACTTTATTATTATTGTTATTGAATATTCCAAAAAAATTTCGAAGAAGGCATTTGAATGAAGTATTTATGATATTTATATAATGCAAGATAGATGCACTTGATGATAAAAATTATAGTAATTAAACTTTATACACAGATTTGATGAAAAAATATATATATAAATAACAAATAATCACTAAATATTGATAATAACTAAAGATTTAAAATCTCAAAAACAGACCAAATATACTGTAATAAAGTAAATAAATAAAAGAGAAATATTCTTTAGAGAGATGGATACAAACCTTCTTTCTCTTTTTTTTTTTTTTTTGTTTCTTTTGTACTTAATTCTTAGTTTTCTTCCGTTTGTTTGTTGTATTTGATGATTGATTGATTGATTGATTGATTGATTGATTGATTGATTGATTGATGACTGATTGATTGATTGATTGATTGATGATATTCAAGAATTAATCCTTTGATGATAATATCCACTTAACAATTAATTAAGGACTCGAGCGTCTTTTTTGTATAGGCTTCTATATTGTTTTCAAATACATTTAATTCTTTTAATCTAACAAACTACGCAAAATTATTATTATATATGCAAAACCAAAGGGGGAAACAAATAATAATCAAAAATAAAATAAAATAAAAAAATAATCAAAAATTTTTTTTTCTTTTGATAAAACCCTTCTTCAATGGTTAGTATATAATGGTAATTAAACAGTAGAAAAATAATTAAAAAGGAATCAAACTTTTTTTTTTGAAATGTAAAAAAAATGAATTGGTTATAATGGTTGTGATCGAAAAAAATTTCAATCCAAATTTTTTTTATCTGTTTTTTTTTTCGTTTCCATAAAAGTCAATTTTTTTTTTGGCTTTTTTTTTTTTTTGATTTTTTACTTACAACATGCCATTATTATCTCGGTTTCTACCAAAAACTTTCGTTCGTCTTTGGCTAGACATCCTTTTCATACTTGATAAATAAGTTATATTACAAAGTATGAACTTTAAAAAAATTATAAAATATATTAATTATTGTTTTTTTTTACTTGGCTGTTGCGGGTTGAGCATTTGATACTTGAACGTTGGGAGATGACTTCCTTAGTTCAGTAAAGAAATCATTGCCATTTGCCATTAAATGTGCTAATATATATATATATATATATATAAATAAAGTAAAAATAATTACTTTCGTTGTCTATAAAATTATTATTATAAAAAAAAAAAATAATAATAATGAGAATTACGTTTATGTCCCCAAACCGGTCCTCCTCTGGGTCCCCAAGCTTTTCCTGCATTATACATTTCCGTTTTATCTATAACGTAATTAATTAAATATTAAATTTATTCACTTTTGTGTAAATTTTAAAAATCAAAATTATATTAAATTAAATTATATTAAATTTACCAGGTTCGGAGGAAGAATTGGCATAATGTCGTTCCACTGCTTCTTTCCAACCTATCAAAATAAATAAAAAAAGGCATCATGAATATTATTGTAGAATAGAAAATCTTAGAATATTTAAAATATACCCACCAGTATTCAAATATGTTTCAACTTCTTGGGAATTAAAATTATTAACCGGTATATGTTCCGGTGTTGGTCTCAAACTTGGTAAAGCTGGTCCGGGTGGACCGGAAGAAAATGACGCGTTGGATGATGAGGAACCGACAGACGTTGGAGTAGTTGGTGAGGATGTTGTAGTACTTAAAACTGTCGGTGAAGTGGTATTGTGAAGATTTTTATTTTTACCCGCTATAACATTATATATATATATATATATAATTTTATGAGCAAAAAAAGAAAGAGATATTTATTCGAAAAAAAAACCATGAAAATAATGAAAATAACATCAGTTAAAGAATCTTACCATATGAGTTTTTACGCTTAAAGTCTCGTTTCTCATTTTGTTTTTTGAGGCTATAAAAAAAAAAGAAAGAATAAAATACAATAAAAATGTTATTATATAGTAAAATGTTTGCCTTTATTTAATTTGTTCAATTGAATAGGTAAATAAAAAATATATTTATAAGTTTTATAAGAGTTATAAAAAAGACATACGGTTGTCTATCTCTATCTTCTTCACGAGTAGCGCCAGCCATATTTTATTATATAAAAAAAAAAAAAAAATATAACAAAGATATTATTATAGAGAGGTATAGGTGAAAAATGAAAAGCGAGAGTTTAATGTAATATTATAAAATATTTGATATATATATATTCATTGAAAATTTAATTTTTGATTGGATATATGTAAGTTTTTTTTTTTTGAATTTTTTTCTTGTACAAATGTTTGTACAACACGCGAGAAAGAAGTGTACCGCAACAAAGAATCTGCGCACTGACCACGCGTGACTTTAAACTATTCTTAATTTAGATAACATAATAAAAAAATTTAACAAAAATTCTAATATAATAAATATATAATATGTAAATGTTTAACGAATTTTTTGTATTTTCCTTTTAAAGATTTATTATTTATAAAGATTTGATCTAAATTTAAAAAATAATTCATCTCAAAAAAAAAAAAAAATAAAAGCGAAAATGAAAAAAAAAATATACATGTCAAAATATAAACGAATAAAAATATTCAAATAAAGAAATTTTAATATTTTTATCCTTTACAATTTTTCTTTCTTTACAATTCTTTTACAATGTACCAAATGAAAAAAAAAAAAAAGGTTGGAGCCAAATAATAAAACAGAATAAAAAAAGGGATATGATATTCCTTAATAATTTAGAAAGAAAGAAAATACTTTAAATAATATATTTAATAACTGATAATAATAATAATTATGATCATCATATAAAAGTATTATAAAAAGCATTTCTTAATTAATACCATTAATAATAATAATTTAAGAATAAATTGGTCAATGGAAGATGATAAATTTATCTATATCTGACATATATTCTGGTTGACCTTATTTTTATTTATTTTTTTTTTCTTTTTTTATTGTGGTCGCCCTTGACGACCAGCCCAAATAACTGCAGATTTGGCATGTTGATACGCTTTCGTTACAAATGGAGGAATATTTGGATTTGCTGATGGAGGTAAAAGCAATCTATCCAAATAATTTCCTACGTCACGGAAAGTTTGTGTAGTAAATTTATTCATATAAAATCTCATACGAAGGAAGAAGAAATAAGCAAATAATATATAAAATTTAAGATGAAATCTATAATATTGAAAGAATAAATGAATAAAATAAATAATTAATTCGTTGAAAATTAATATAAAAATATAAAAATATAAAAATACAAAAATATAAAAATATAAAATATAAAAATATAAAATATAAAAATATTTAAAATAAACTTACGTTAAAACATTCCAAATTAACATAGATGTAATAACTACCACTTCAAAAAAACTAACAATTCTCATTGCCTGATCATAATTTTGATGAACCCACGTTGAAATAAATTTGGAAGCAGAATTTGCCCATTTCTCATATTGTGATAATTTTGGAGCTCGAGATGAATGAGATTCTCGAGATGAATGAGATTGACGAGATTGTGGGAAGAATGTTTGAAGAATATTCGTACGGAAATAAGTAATCAAATGAAATAATGAAAATGTGGCATATGGTAGAATTGTGACTAATGAATAAATGAATAAATTAATAAATCATTTAAATTATTAAATTATTAAATTATTATTATTATATTACTAAGTTATTATATTATTATATTATTAATATATACTAATATAATTGCATTATATTAATGTCATCTCAAAATTTACCTATAACTGGGGTATTAAAGAACCATAGAACAGCCAATCCTAGATAAAACACATTTTCATCTCGGTTAAGCTTCATAAAATATTCCCGATTTAGTTGAGGTATCTAATATAATAATAATAATAATAATAATAATAATATAATAATAATAATAATAATAGTAATAATAATTATAATAATATTAATAATAAAAATAATATTAATAAAAAAATAATATTGATATTGTTAAATATTGTCATATATTGATTTTCATTCTTTAAATTTATAAATCTTTTTTTTTTCTATCAAAAAGTCGTCAATTTAACACGGATCATTCTATTTTCATTCCATTTTTATTTATCAGGTTCGATATTATAAAATTTAAAAAGAAAATATTAAAGTTCGAAAAAATTAAAATGCATAAAAAAATAACTCACTCCTGCTGATTTATAGACCACAACCCCATAGCTTAACATGGCTCCGAGATATACGTTATAGTAATAACTTTTTCCCTCAGCAGCGCGAAAAGTGATCCAATAATAAAAATAGAAAAATGAGCAAAAAAGTACGACACAATGCCCCAGCCACCAAATGAATTGAGGGTGCTATAAATGAAACGGTTAAATAATTTTTAGATAAAATAACGATCTTAATGTTTCAAACTCGCGTTAATAATCGGTATTAGTAATCGTAAGTTTGAGAAATACCTTAGCAAGCGTCCAAAGTCGGCTTGCAATCTGTTGTTGTTGCGCCATCTTTGATCTTTTGAAATTTTTATGGCTCACTTTTTTTTTTTATAACAACAATTTTCCTTATGAATTAACTGTTAAAAAATAAAAAGTGATAAAGATAAAAAAAAAACGTCTTGTGTAAAAGGAAATATGACTTTCCTATATATATATAAAAATGAATTGTACTTCATGATAACGTCACCGAATTCCACCAATAAAATGTTTAACACTGTCCTGCAGCAGGGGGTTTATATAGATTGTCTGTTTGTCATATCAAATTTATCAAATTTCCACAATTTTCTATTTCCCTTTGGCTGCAACTTTAAATCAACTTCCAGAATTATCGAAATTATTGGCTGGGTGGCGTATATTTAGTGACGTGTTACGTCTCTTATTGAAAATTTTGTGGTTTTCATAATAATATTACAACTTTTGCATTTCTTCTTTACCATTAGAAAAATCTAAAATTTTCATTATTTTTAAGTAAACTTCAAAAAGTACTCTCTTTAAGTGCTTTTAGAAAAACACCAAGAATTCGTCAAAATGCCCACGACTGTTGAGGACATATATAAAGCCTATGAAGAAATTGAAGAAATTGCTAAAATAGGCCCTAAGGGCGATGAGGTAAACATTATATATTATATATATTTTTTTCTATTTAAAAAGAATGTTTTTTTTTCTGATTTATAAATATTACCCTTTAGGTTATTACCTTTATTATTAACCTTGTATTTATTAACTTTATATTTTATTCTTTAACTTTTTTTTATCCAGGTCAAGAAATCATATGAAACAATAATTTCTGGAGCACACGGAGAAAGTAATTGCAAGCGCCTCGCGGCACAGTTCATCCCAAGGTTTTTCGGTAAATTTCCTGAATTACACGAGACGGCTATCGACGCTCTATTTGATCTATGTGAAGACACAGATTTGAATGTACGCCCCCTTATGATTAGCGCACCATTTTGGCTTTGATTTAACGAGAAGACTGATAGAATTTATATACGCTTGTTGACTTGTTGTCAAAAGGTGCGATTGACTGTAATAAAATATTTACCCAATGTTGTCAAAGAGTCCGACAAGGTTGCGGTACGAATTGCTGATGCCTTGGTACAATTATTGCAAAATGGTAAAATATATAATTAAAATATTTATAAAATTGATTTCTATATAAAAACAATAAAAAAAATTTTTTTAACTTGATTTATTTTATTTATATAGAAACAACTCAAGAAATAGCTGCCGTAAAAAAGGCACTAGAGCAAGTAATTCGTTTATCGCCTCACGACTCCATTGTTGCGATATTCCAACAATCACTCAAAGGATCTCCCGAAGTCCGTAACAGGACAATTAATTTTTTATCCAGTGATTTAAATCGTTTCAAGGATGATTTATTTGCAAAAGGTCAAGATGTTGAGGCATGCTTTGCTAATGAAGTAAAAAAAGTAATAAGATTTATATTTTATTTATGTGTATATACTTATATTAATGTGTTTTTTTACTCTTTTTTATTCTTTTTTTTTTTTTTTTTTTTTTTTTTTTTTTTTTTTTTTTTTTTTTTTTTTTTTTTTTTTTTTTTTTTTTTTTT